GCTCGCCTTGTGATGCCGCGATCGACATCGCGTCCTCCTCTGGAGCGCCGAAAGAAACACGCGGGACTTCCGTAGAAAGCCCCGCCTGAATCCTTGCGGCACTCGCGGGTTGCGACACTGGAGAGGGGGGCGTGGTCCGAGGATGTGTCGTCGGATCACTCCACACCGTCACCCTCAGATCACCCGGTCCCCCAGCCGAACTACTAGCCCTGTTAGAGGAAGCAGAACGGGTGGTGGATGCGGGGACTCTCACTTTCAGATCATTGAGTCTCGATCTCAGTGTAGCGATGGTCATGTTCCCACAGAAAGAACATGAGTCATCCACGAGTGCTGCTTTTGCATGCTCAAAGCCCAGACACACAAAACAGCACTCGTGCCCATCAGAGGATGACAGATAACGACCGCAACCAGAAAAATACGGGCGAGACATCTTTAAAAAGACGCGCACCGTGCACTCTTTTAGGAGAGGAAGCTCTGCAGCGCTGAGGCGACCAAGGAGAAAACACCGAGTCCGGCAGACCGCAACACAGACCGCAGGCAAGTGAAGACTCGCTGGGTACCGCCGTCACACCAACACTGGAGAGCCGCTCGTCTCGAAGAGGGTGAGTCACTTGTAACTCAGATCTTTTGGCTTGTGGAGTGAAGATATGCTCTTGGCTCCGAAGCGAAAACATACTGCGGTGGCGTCCGCTTCCTCATTTTATACTCAAGGGGTGAGGCGGAGATACGCTATGCAAATTCCGCAGACCCATGGCATTTCTTTGCCATTGGCTCGTTTTTTAATACTCGAAGAGGATTGGCTTTTAATGCGAAACCCCCATTCTCCGTCACGTCTGACGTAACTCGAAGTGACTACGAAAGGGAACTAATCGTTCATTGAAAATATAATAAATAAAGACAAATAAAAAAAATAACAATTGGGCAACATGTTTGTTTATTCATCCATTCAAATTCATTAATTTTATTTTAATTGGGACTGGTTCAATTTTATAAAACAGAAACAATTTATTTAATATATTCATTAATAGTACACAGTTTAATTATCACAAATACCAAATTTACATTTCATTTGCAGCTTGTGCTGGCTAATTATGATATTTAACCTGTTATCATAACACTGAACAACTAAACAGTGTGTTTCCTAATTGAACTCTATCGCGGGTACAGTTGAGACAGTAGTGTCTCAACTGTACCCCGCTGGCCACCTCAAACATTTCTCTAGATTTTGCAGTGACCATGCATGACACAATACCATGAAATGTGCCCATTTTTAGGGCACAGAATAACGTTTGTGATTATACCAGTTAAGTTTAACAGTCACATAATGACAATAAGCTATTCATTGTGGAGTGTGATTCATTGTGGAGTGCTATTCATTGTGGAGTGGAGAACAGCTATTCCATGCATCACCACAAACCTTACCAGCACAAACCTTCTTGAAGGGAGGGAAAACTCCTCTGCGCAAGCGCGTGCGATCAGTGTTTGTGTTTGTAGCTCCGGAGAATTTCTTCACTAATCCTTGATTTTCTTCTTTACCACTTATTTATAAACAAGCACTTTCTATTTTTATATCATGTGAACTTATCCTTGATACTATTCCTTATAAAAAAACAATTGGATTGCTTTGATATCGCAACTTATATCCAACATTCCGAATCCCGGCTACTAGCCTTTAGCCCGCTAGCATTCCACGCGTGGCCTCTTGCCTATTGGCCGTCTCATTTTACACCCGTTTCACTGAATCCTGGTTATTTCCGGCATTTCAGTCCTAAATTAGTAGTGATAGTTGTAGTATCACTACTAATTTACTGTTCATCTGTTATAATGGCGAACATATCACATGCGTGTCTAACATTACCTCTGAGTGCAGGTGAGGAAACATTCGAGCTCTTCACGGTGAAGCAGGAGCTGGAATACATCGAGAAAAACAGATCCGTGGTCTGCTGGTGAAGCAAGCCGAGCTGTTGGATTGGCGCTCAACGCTTGAAGCATCACGCACCGACACTCACAAATCAGTGGTTAGTAACGTTAACTCTTTGACTCCGACTTCGTCTACTCCGTATGTTCCTCTGCCCAGGAGGACGCAATCATCTCGGGCTTCATTCACTGAAACAACAACATGGACCATGGATCACACAGTGGAAGACACGAGACAGGACCAGAGCTGCCTCTCCGCCCCTCCCGGTCTTCGAGATCTCCACTCGGAACCGCTTCTCCACTCTTCGCGAGCCGGAATGCGACGACGCCGTGATCATCGGCACATCCATGGTCCGTCATTGCCGTGCTACTTCTGATAAAGGTAAGGTGCGCACTCACTGCTTTCCTGGTGCTCGTGTTCTTGATGTCGCTGCACAGGTTCCCGAGATCCTGAATGGTGACGAGCGCGTCGGAGCTGTTGTGCTGCACGCGGGAACGAACGACATTAGGCTGCGGCAGACGGAGGTTCTGAAGAAGGACTACAGGAGCCTGATCGAGACAGTACGCAGCACAGCGCCTAAAGCAGCGATCATCGTGTCTGGACCGCTTCCCACGTACAGACAAGGACAGGAAAGGTTCAGTAGACTATTTGCATTAAATGAATGGTCAATGTCATTGTGTAATGAACAGAACTCTTTGTAAATAATTGGCATCTGTTTTGGGAGAGACCCAGGCTGTACCATGCAAATGGACTCCATCCCAGCCGAATCGGAGCGGCTGTGCTGTCGGACAACATCTCCAAGACATTACGCACCAGATGACTAGTAAGTCAAAGTCCAAATCACAGCCTTTGCGGTCCAAACTTAACTAATATGCATAGTGTGGAACATTATATAGAAACCGTGTCTATTCCTCATTTAGTGAAGCCAAACAATAAATCTAGTGCAGGATCTAGCAAAAATCTTATTGTAATTAAACCAGAAAATTTAAATATCAGTGAACAAAAACAATTTCTAAAGCTAGGTCTTCTAAACATTAGATCGCTCACACCTAAGGCGGTTATTGTAAATGAAATGGTCACAGATAATAACTTCGATGTTCTGTGCCTTACTGAAACCTGGCTTAAACCAAATGAGTATTTCGGTCTAAATGAATCTACTCCGCCAGGATACTATTATAAACATGAGCCTCGCCTGATCGGTCGTGGCGGCGGTGTTGCAACAATCTATAAAGATATTTTTAATATTACTCAGAAAACAGGTCACAGGTTTATTTCATTTGAAGTACTTGTGCTAAATGTTACGCTCTTAGATGTAAGAAGGAAATCCATATTATATCTAGCCTTGGCTACTGTATATAGACCTCCAGGGCCATTTGCTGAATTCCTAAAAGAGTTCGCAGACTTTCTCTCGGATCTATTGGTGAATGTCGATAAAGCAATAATTGCTGGAGATTTTAACATGCACGTAGATAATACAAATGATGCTTTAGGGGCTGCGTTTACAGACTTATTGAACTCCTTTGGGGTCAAACAAAACGTCAGTGGTCCCACTCATCATCTAAATCATACACTAGATTTAATTATATCATATGGAACCATTCCAACTGATATAGGTATTATACCGCAAAGCGATGATGTCACTGATCATTACATGGTGACTTGCATAATACGTACTGCTAAAATATGTCATGTTGCGCCACGTTATAGACCAGGCAGAACAATCCTTCCAACCACTATAGATAGATTCTCAAATAGCTTACCTGATCTATCTAAGCTGCTAAGTGAACCCAAACAAACAGATGAATTAGAGGAAATGACTAGCAGTTTAAGCACCATTTTTACTAGTATATTAGATATTGTTGCACCAATTAGATTAAAAAAGGTTAGAGAGAAAACTAAAGCACCATGGTACAACAGTGCTACGCATGCCATCAAGAGAGAAACTCGCAACTTAGAGCGTAAATGGAAACAAACTAATTTAGAGGTCTTTAGAATCGCGTGGAAAGACAGTATGTCACGTTATAAAAAGACACTAAAAACAGCCAGGGCTGAGCATCTCTGCAAACTAATCGAAAATAACCAAAATAATCCAAGGTTTTTATTTAACACCTTGGCTAGTCTAACAAATAAACAGACTTCACCAGAGCAAAATATACCGTTACAGTTTAGTAGTAATGATTTTATGAATTACTTCAATGAGAAAATAGAAAGCATCCGAAACGCAATTATAAATGTACAATCCTCTATGGTGTCTTATGATTCAGCTTCAATTATGGCCCGTCTAGAACAACTAAACAGAACATTCTGGGAACGTTAAATTTCTAGCTGGGTAGCGCTTAGCTTCATATACACCTAGTGTTGCAAACTTTTTCTTCTAAAGTGTATGTAGTGTATTGAGTAGAATGCACTTTAGAGTAAACCCAGGGATAATCACTACTTGGCCATTCTAAGTTAACTCTGTATAGAATTTGGTTGGCCAGCGTGTTGTTCGTTGTTGCACAGTAAAATATAAAAGAAAGAATTGCCCATCGTTGTCTCGAGTCTGATTTGTATTCTAAAAAATAGACAAACACGACAGTTCTTCCTCCCCCCTTAGATAAGAACATTTTAAACCAAAAATATTTCTCTTTTAACAATTTTTTTTCTCCCTTTTCCAAAAGGTACATTCTTAGGCAACTGAATAACTGTAATGTCCACTCCAGGTTTGTTTTTACAAATCCAGGCGATTTGGTGGTTTCCGTACCCGAGTAGGGTAACGTTTCTCTTCACAGGTTGGAGGTAGTGCTTGTAACACTTCACTGGAAACTACAGTATCATCTTGAAGTGTTGTTTCATCACTTCCACTGGAAACAGTCTCAGTAGTGGTGAATGGAACACTCGCAGGAGCACTTTCCAGAGGAACATCTGATCTTCTCAACTGATCAATGTGTCGTCTCCAGATAGTGTCTGGTGCAATCTCGACTGTGTATGAGAGTGGTCCTGTTCTTTCTTTGACCTTTCCTGGTGTCCATTTATGATCTCCTCTGTAGTTCCTAGCAAGCACACTCTCTCCTATTTCCAACTCTCTGGTTTTTCCTCCTCCTTATGACTGCTTCATTTGTTTGTCATGTACAATCCTCCTCAAATTGGGTCTCAAAAAATCCAACCTTGAACGTAAGGCTCTACCCAGGAACAACATGGCAGGTGTTCGATTTGTGGTGACATGAGTCGCATTTCGAAATGCAAACAAGAAATTTTGCAGTTTCTGGTTCAGTGTGATCTTTTCGCTTGTCATGGCCCGTAGTGCATTTTTCAAGCTTTGCACAAATCTCTCAGCTAAGCCATTTGTAGCTGGGTGGTAGGGCGCTGAGGTCACATGTTTGATTCCATTGTTCTTCAAGAAGATCTGGAACTCCTCAGATATGAACTGGGGACCATTGTCACTCACCAGCTGTTCTGGTACACCAGTCCTTGCGAAAAGTTCTCTCAGAACCGTCACAGTTTGTGTGGCGGTTGTGGAGGTCATACTGAACACTTCTGGCCACTTTGAACACGCATCAACCACAACCAGAAATGTGGTGCCCATGAAAGGACCCGCAAAGTCAACATGGATTCTTTGCCACGGTAACGCAGGCCACTCCCACGTTTGGAGAGGTGCAGTCTTTGGCATCTTTTGCACATGTTGACATCCTGAACAATGCATGGCGAGCTGCTCGATCTGCTGGTCTATTCCAGGCCACCATACAAAGCTTCTCGCAAGTGCTTTCATCTTTACCACTCCTAGATGCCCAACATGAAGCTCCTCCAACACTCGAGTTCGCAACTTAGGAGGTACAACAACTCTTAATCCCCACATGATGCAACCACCATCTAGAGCTAGTTCATCACGGCGCTGGTAGAATTGTGTGAAACGAGTCTTCTGCTCTGCATTCCAGCCAGACTGTATAGCCAAATATACCTGAGACAATGTAGGATCTCTACTGGTTTCTCTCCGAATCATTTCGTCTGTAACAGGAGAACTCTCAAGCTGAGCAATGGTAAAAACGTCCAAAGGCGTGCTTACGTTCTCTGTCTTTGAATCACACCCATCCAATGGTAGACGTGATAGCCCATCAGCATTAGCGTGTCTGTGTGTTCTTTTGAATTCAATCTGATATCTATGTCCTCCAAGAAACAACGCCCACCTTTGAATCCGTGCTGCTGCAGTCAGTGGAATTCCTTTCTGAGGATTAAAAATGGAAACCAACGGCTGATGGTCCGTAACCAAGGTAAAGTTGTTTCCATACAGATACTGATTGAATCGTTTTACGCCCCACACCAGGCTCAGAGCTTCCCGATCAATTTGTGCATAGTTCTTCTCTGCAGCACTGAGGGAGCGAGATGCAAAGGCTATGGGGCGCTCCGTTCCATCACCCATCACGTGAGACAACGCCGCACCTATGCCGTATGGTAAGGCATCGCATGCCAGCTTTAGTGGCTTGTGTGGATCATAGTGAGTAAGAACTGTGTCTGACATCACCAGGTTCTTTGCTTCCTGAAAAGCTTGCCTGCATTGCTTTGTCCATATCCATTTCTTTCCAGCTTGTAACAAGGCATTTAGAGGATGGAGAACAGTAGCTAGATTTGGCAAAAACCTATTGTAGTAATTGACAAATCCAAGGAAGGACCTCAATTGTGAGACATTTTCCGGTTGTGGAGCCTCTGCGACAGCTCTTAGCTTGTCATGACACTTGTGCAGACCACTCGCATCAATTTTATGTCCACAATACGTGATGGTGTCTTTGAAAAACTCACACTTGTCACGTCTTGCGCGCAGTCCATACTCTTCCAATCTCTTTAAGACACATGCTAAGTTCTCCAAGTGACTACTGTCACTGTCACCTGTGACGATGATGTCATCGAGGTAACATTGGGTACCAGGGCAACCCTGAAGTACCTGATCCATAGCCCTTTGCCACAAGGCCGGTGCTGAGGCGACGCCGAAAACAAGCCTGTTATAGCGATACAACCCCTTGAGAGTATTGATAGTCAAGAACACTTTTGAGTCCTCCTCCATTTCCATCTGTAAATATGTTTCCGCCAAGTCTATTTTACTGAAGAGCTGTCCGCCTGCAAGTGTGGCAAAAATATCCTCTATTCTCGGTAGTGGATATTGTTCTGCCTGCAATTCCGGGTTGACTGAGACTTTAAAATCCCCGCAAAGTCTAACAGTTCCATCTTTCTTGGCAACCGGAACAACTGGAGTTGCCCAGGGACTCCAATCAACCTTTGAAAGTATTCCTTCAGCTTCCAACCGGTCCAGCTCATTTTCCACTTTCTGACGAATAGCATAGGGAACCGGCCGCGCCTTGTGAAACTTGGGTACAGCATTCTCATTCAGTGTTATCTTCCCTTTTATATGCTTCAGCGTTCCTATTCCCGGCTGAAACACAGCTACAGCCCCATCCAGCACTTTTTCCAGTTGCATCTGGATGCACTTCGATGAAGGAACTGTGACTTGCAATTTTTTTATGGATTTCCAGTCCAGCTGCAACTTCCTCAACCAGTCACGTCCCCAAAGTGCTGGTCCCTCTGTTCGGACTATATACAGATCTAATTCACTCTGTTGACCATTGTACATTACAGTAACAGGCATCACTCCAAGAGGAATTATGGGCTCACCGGTGTATGTTTTCAGTTTAACAGGCGATGGCTTTAATTTGGTCGTTTTGAAATGTTTTTCAAACTCGTGCTGTGACATCACTGATACCGCAGAGCCTGTGTCCAATTCCATTCTGATTGTCTGTCCGTTCACTTGAGGTGTAAGCCAGATAGCTTGTTTTAAGTCATTTTTCAGACTGTAGATTTCTAAGTTTGCCAACCCTGAGTCACTTTCCTCATCTGAGTTTTGGGCAACAACATGCACATTCCTACTTTTCATTTTCTGAGCCTTGTACTGTCTCTCCTTTTCAATGTGTGGTACGTCGGACCGACATGCTCTTTGTATGTGTCCAACTTTGTTGCACTTTCTGCACATTTCAGTTTTGAATCTGCACTGATTTGCTTTGTGTCCGCCCCTGTCACAACGGTAACACATTTCAACTTTTTGCAGTGCTCTTTTAGGTTTACCTGCCATGGTCACCTTATTTACAGAGAGTTTCACTCCTGATCTCAGCTCAACTGCATCTCTAGCAGCCGTTTCCATAGCGACAGAAATTTCAACTGCACGTTTGAATGTTAGATCTGCCTCTGAGAGCAATCTCTTCTGTATACTCTCTTGTGAAATGCCGCAGACTAGACGATCTCTCAGCGCGTCGTTTAGTCCGTCCCCAAACTGACAGTGTTCAGACAATTTCTTTAATTCAGCCACATAAACTGCGATTGACTCTCCATCATTCTGATTTCGCTTATGAAATCTGAATCGTTCTGCAATGAGCAGCGGTTTTGGTGCTAGATGCTCTTGCATTATCTTCACAATATTCTCAAAACTAAGATCAGCAGGCTTTGTGGGAGCGGTGAGGCTTCTGAGCAGAGCATAAGCTTTCCGTCCTATCGCGCTCAACAACACTGACACACGCTTTTCATCATCGATGTCATTAGCTTTGAAATACTGCTCGATTCGTTCACAGTACAAAGTCCAATCATCCGTAGCATTTTCAAATGGATCAATCTTTCCGATATATCCCGCCATCTTCCTTAATTCACTTACTAGATTGTGCTGAATCTACCCCTCAATCTCCGTGAGGCTGTGTTTCATCTCTTTCTTTATCACTTCTCCCAGAAAAAAAAACGCCCACCCGGAAAAAAAACTAGGAGACAGCTCTTTCATATGTTCACCAAAAATCCTCGTCGCCAACTGTCGTGTTTGTGTAGCGGGACTACACATGATTGAGATGTTGAATAAACTGTCTGGGGGAGGGGCGGGGCTGTACATATATCTGTGTGTGGTTGGGATGTTCATTGACAGGTGCGGTTGATAATTGGGATGGATCAGCAGCTTCTGTGATTAGTGGCTGGAGAGAATAAAAGCGGATGGATTCTGGTCACGTTGAGCTGAAACGACTTCACGTACCGCAACTCACAAGAGCGAAGACGTTGGTATTGCACGCTACCGATTCCCCAGATAGCGGCGAGCTGGTCGCTTGTAGGGAAGACGGCGGGAGAATTGTGTCAACGTACTCTATTCTTCGCATTAAGGGAAGTAGTTTTGCGACAGCCTCGCAGCGAGTGGGCTGTACTCTGTGATATTGTTGTAAAGAGTTGACTGATGCACTTTCCCCTCCTCGCAGTTCCGGGTGGAGTTTCGCGGATAAACGCTGTCAACGGGAGGCGTCAAATACACCGCATCGTCACAAGGAAGTTTCAACGCACTCTATTCCTCGCATTAAGGGAAGTAGTTTTGCGACTGTCTCGCAACGAGCGGGCTTTACCCTGTGATATTATGGTGACGAGTTGACTGATTCACTTTCCCCCTACTCGCAGTTCCGGTTGGAGTTCCGTGGATAAGCGCCGTCAACGGGAGGCGTCAGACACGTTGCATCGTCACGGGGAACATAGACAGAGACTGATGCGATTCCCTCGCACCGTGATTTCGAATATTGGACTGACCGTGAGTGGTTGTTGAGCTGTTAATGTTCTTGTACGGTAGCGGGGGTGGCTGAATTAGGTATACAATAGTTATTAGAGGTCTGGCTGCTCGCCCTAAATTTGCTGAATAGTGAATGTGGTGAAAGTGTATTTCTCGTGTCCACAGTGTTTTCAACATCTTAGCATTTAACTGTGTGAGCATGTTACGTTTGGCTAGTCTACTGTGTTCTGCTGTGTGACTCTTTGTATTGTTTTCACATATGGTTATGGTTATTTGACCCTTGTTCTTATAGAAGTGTGTTCTTAACGTGGGTGATGTGAAATTACACGAGTGTAGAATTAATAGTGGTACGTCTATTGGCGTTGGGATAACTGGGACTTTGAGACTTCACTTCCCGATAGAGGGCGCCAAATTTTTACTACCAGTTTTATAGCAGCAGTACTACTACTTAAATTGCTTATTCCTACTAACCAATTGCTATTTTTTTTAATGTGGTTTGTTCATACCAGGTATATAGATTTTGATGACCTCTCTGCCTGGTCGGGCATATTTTTATATATAGTGTGTGTTTTTATGCATTTAAAAAAATTGTCAATAAAACTGAGTTTATACACTTCTGTCTATTGTTGTCGTACCTCAAGGGTCAATACAAAAATTACTGGTTCCGTTACAATTTTGGCGTAGTGTCGGCAGGACCCTTGACGTACACAACAATATGAGTAACAGCGAGCAGCCTCAGGTAGCGGGTGCACAGCCACAAATGGTAGCTGCATTTATGCCATGGTTTATGGGTGGGCCATGGGTCCCAAAGTTTAGTGGAGAAGGGGGTGCATCAAAGTTTTCGGAATGGAAAACGCAAATTGAAGCCTTTATCCGGGCCCAGGGGCTGAATGCAGAGCAAAGGGTGGATTTTGTGCTGAGCGCATTGGAGGCAAATGCTAAAAGAGAGGTGGTACTGTTAGCAGTTGATCAACGTGACACTGACACCAAGATTTTAGAGGCCCTATGTAAATTGTATGGAGTCCAACGACCAGTAGCTCAGTTGCGAGTCCAGTTTTTCAACTGTAAACAGGAACCTGGGGAGGTTGTCAGCGATTTTATTCTCCGTTTGCGTGAGTTGCATTTCAGATGGAGAGCTATGGACCCCCTTGAGACCGGAACAGATGATGAGCTGCTACGGACACAGTTTGCCATGGGCCTGAGAACGGGATCGTTGAAGCAGGAGCTGCAGAGGCAGCTCCGAAGGACCTCAACGCTTACCTTTGTGGAGGCTTGTGAGGAGGCAAAAGCACTGGAGCGGAAACTGGGCCACACGGAAGAAGCCAGCGTTTGCCCAACCGTTGCTACAACATCATACCCACGGCCTATTGCCATGGAGTTGCAGCAAGTGAAGGATGCTCTGCGGGCTGAGCTGCGTCAGGAGTTGAAGGAACAGGTAACCCTTTTAGGCAAGTCTATTGTAGAGGAGCTACAAGAACGCTTGAAACCACTGCCAGAGACTGAGACACCCCCTCAGCCATCCTGGCATTCACAGTCCAATGCCCCTCAACGCCAACGCCGGGATCAGCCCCTCCTGGGCAACCTTACTATCAATGGGATGCTCAAGGCCAAGCTATCTGCCGTGACTGTGGGGACGCTGGACACATTCAGAGATTCTGCCCACGGCGACGTCCAGCCCAGACGGGTTTTCGGTACCCCCGGTCACAGCAGGGCAGGTGAACCGGGAGGGGCCCCTGACCGCGCCCCAACAAAGGCCCTCCATGGTTGGTAGATGCCCTGAAATCGAGGTGTTTGTCCAAGGGCGACGAATTCCATGCATACTAGATACTGGCTCTCAAGTCACCTTGTTTAGTCAAACACTGTTCCAACGCCACTTCGGTGACGAATGCATACAAGATCCCAGCCGTATATCATGGCTAGCCTTAAAAGCAGCTAACGGCCTTTACATTCCTTATGTAGGCTATGCAGTATTAGACTTTTGCATCGGGGGATTTGATGTAAAGGGGAAGGGGGTAGTTATTGTCCGTGACGATTGTATTAACACAGAATATGGACTTTTGGGGATGAACGTCGTGGCAGAGTGCTGGGCTGGAATTTTTAAAGGTGGCCATCTTGGGGTTGTGGCATTTAAATCAGTGTTCTCCCCCTCTGCAGAAAAAGCTTGGGATACAGCCTTTGCTGCCTGCCAGAGGGCTGAAGCGTTAGTGACTCGAGTGGAGCTTCAAGGTGTGGCTAGACTCCAAAGACAGCCTCCGGTGGTGTTGCCCCCCTCCACTGAAACGATCGTCTGGGCCCATGTGCCACAATCTGCTGGCCTGCCTGATTGCCCCGTCATGATCGAAGACATGGAAGGCCATGGGTGTGAGTGGCGAGTGGCCCCGATCGTTGAGCTGGACCCAGGGAGGGAGGGTTCCCATACGTATCTGTAACCCAAACCCATTCCCTATGGAGCTGCCTCAACGACGCCCCTTGCCACAGTCACCCAAATCGACCAAAAGGACGTGCGGGGACGAACGAGATTAGTTTTAACGAACGCTGGCCCCCAAGTCATCGAGGTCGATGTACAGCAAGTGGGACGGACCCTAAGTGACGATCATCCAGCTCTAGCTTTGCACGGTGAAGGGTTGGACGATGACCAACAGGCCCAATTGAAGGCCCTCTTAAAAAAGTGGTCTCATGTGTTTGCAGCCCACGAAGAGGATTTTGGCAGAACAGCAGTGGTCACCCATCAGATTCCCACTGGCACGGCTCCCCCGATTCGGGAGCGCTATCGCCCAGTTCCCCCAAACCTCTATCCAGAACTGAGGACCTTATTACAGGGCATGCTGGACAGCGGGGTGGTGAAGGAGAGCTCGAGCCCATGGGCTGCTCCAGTGGTCCTTGCCAAAAAGAAGGATGGTTCATGGAGATTTTGCGTTGATTACCGCAAATTGAATGCTATAACCCACAAAGACTCCTTCCCTTTACCTCGGATTGAGGAATCACTCACTAGCCTAACTAAGTGTGAGTGGTACTCCACTCTCGATCTCGCAAGTGGATACTGGCAAGTGGAGGTCGCGCCGGAAGACCAGGAGAAGACCGCTTTCACCACCCCATTTGGCTTGTATCACTTTGAGCGTATGCCCTTTGGTCTCTGCAATGCTCCAGCCACCTTCCAGAGACTGATGCAACGCTGCTTGGAGCACAGGTGTATGATCATCTTCTTATTTACCTTGATGATGTTATTGTCTATTCACCCAATTTCACAGCCCACTTGCAGCACCTGGAACAGGTTTTTGCCCGCCTTCAAGAACATGGCCTGAAGTTACAGCCACGGAAGTGCCATTTGTTCCAAAGGAAAGTGACATATCTGGGACACATTGTCAGCAGCCAAGGGGTAGCGACGGATCCAGATAAGGTGGCGGTTGTCCGTGATTGGGCTACGCCCATGACGGTGAAGCAAGTGAGATCATTTCTGGGCTTTGCTGGCTACTATCGACGCTTCATCCCAGCTTTCTCTAAGGTAGCAGCCCCCCTACACCAACTTCTGCAAGGCCAAGCCAACAGATCCTCTGCCCCTATCCAGTGGACACCTAGTTGCCAAGTGGCCTTTGATAATCTGAAACAGGCCCTCCTTAGCGCCCCCATCTTGGCCTATGCGGATTTCCAGCTTCCATTTAGATTGTACACTGATGCTAGTCTGGATGGTCTCGGGGCTGTCCTGGCCCAGGTCCAAGGTGGAAGTGAAAGGGTCGTCGCATACGCCAGCCGCAGCCTTCACCCCACCGAGCGTAATGACCAAAATTACAGCTCCTTTAAACTGGAATTACTGGCTTTAAAGTGGGCCATCACGGAAAAATTTAAAGATTATTTGTGGGGAGCTGAGGTCACTGTTTTTACCGATAATAACCTCTGGTCCATCTCGAAACGGCGAAACTGGGTGCAACTGAGCAAAGGTGGGTGGCCCAACTTGCAAACTACTCCTACAATCTACGCTACCGACCAGGGACAGCCAATCGAAATGCCGATGTCCTGTCACGACTACCAGGAGAGGCAGCGGAGCACACTGTGCACAGCATGGCATGCATTACACCGTTGGAATCCGGTACCCTGCAAAAAACAAT